AATAAAGGAAAGGTTCTAAATAAAATAATTTGTCTTTTAATAAACTAATAATTAGCTAGACTTTCCCACAACTATTTCACTAAACTAAATATTTTTTTTTCCTATACTTTCTGCTGATTTCCTAGTTTAATTGTTTTTAAGATAAGGAAATGAGATAGACAGGAAAATAAAACACATTAAAGACATGATTAGAGACATTAAAGACACTAGAAATACCGTTTGATATCACATTAAAATAGGTTGATTGTAGAGTTGAGAGACCAGAATTAAAAAAGCTTGCAAAATAACTAAACTCTTAAAATAGTTAACATATGATATAGCCTACATGCTGTGAATTGAAATCTTCATAAATGATGTAAGATATCCACCTTCTGATAGTCTGATTATCTTAATGACTTGCTAGTTGTCTTCCTGAATCATACATTTTAAAAACTGCGGAGCTTAAGGAGGGATTTTTCCTTTGCAAAACCCAGGATAACTAGAACTCTTAAGATTTCCATTTCTAATTTTTTTCAGCATTCTGTTCTTAGACTGGTTCTTTCACATGAATGTATGTCATATATACATAAATGTCATTTCTCATGACATACAACTCTTGTATAGTCATTTGTTCCTTCTAACTTCTCTCCTCCTTATTGTCTATGATAATTTCTTTCCCATTCCTGAATCATAGAATCACAGAATCGTTCAGGTTGGAAAAGACCCTTGGGATCATGGAGTCCAACCATCAGCCCTACTCTACAAAGTTCTCCCCTACACCATATCCCCCAGCATCTCATCTAAACGAACCTTAAACACATCCAGGGATGGTGACTCCACCCCCTCCCTGGGCAGCCTACTGCAATCTCCTCTACAATAATTAATGGAGTCACAATCCTGCTAAAGTTTTAGTGTACTCAAACAAGGTAACAACTGTGACAATTGACTGCTAGTTCAATTACTAAGCAATTTTAGAAGATCACTGACAACCTTAAATAGTTTAATAAATCTATTCACATTACAACACTAGCAAAATCTAAATTTCTACATGCCAGCTATCCTCTCTGAATTTCAAGCTGAAGATTCTCTTTCCTTTCACTTAAAAAATATCCTAACAAAATGCATAAAACCCAGTATACAGAAATGTAAGAAGTCATGAATATGTAAAAGTTACACATGATAATCTAGGATGAGACACGTTCTTTATGAACGAATACATAAGCACTTCTAGAATGTAGTGACACCAACAAATCTTTTTATTTGAACAATTCAATTAGAAATTAAAGAAACCATGCAACTGTGAAACAAAAATCTGTCTACAGTTACTGGAAGTTGATTTATGTGGATTTTTAAACTAACAATTTGTCAGAATATTATTTACTGTCGTAAATACCCAGCTTAGATGATGTAAGGAAAGGTAATAGCCATGCTTAACAGTTAACCCTTTTCTATTAACCACTATAAAAACCCCCTAATTTACACAATCCATGCTAGCTGGTCAATATAATTTGCATTGATTGAGTTGCTGTTTCTAAAATGATTTAAGCACATACCTAAATCCTGTGGTATTATAATGATAAAGTGAAACATATCCTTAAAATCTTGTAAAACCAGGTTCTAGGAATGGTTTCAAGTAGTTCTGAAAATATAGTATGCAGAAGAATAAGTTTTCCAAAATATTAACAGTAAATATTTCTTACACCTCCATATCTTTTAAAACTCACTCTTCTGGAATGTAATGATTTGAATGTTTAATCTCATCTTTTAAGGTGAATGATTCAGTATTTGTAACTTTTGGGGTTGACAAATTAAGTTTCTGGAATTTCTTTACCATATTAATTGAAAAGTGCAAGACAATATTAGAAGAATTAGTTATGAGTCCTGACGTTAATTTCTAACTCTTGAGAAATGCATTTCATACTTTTGCAATGGTCCCTATCAAACATTCCTATTCTTTCACAAGCCTTCCCAAACAGTTGACAATTTAATCACTGCAGTGGGCTATGAAAAAAGTGAATGGCTATCACCATGGTGTGAAAGTTTCCAAATCCATAAAAAATTTGAAGGTTGAAGGGAAAAACCTTGAGTCAGAATATGTATTTTGTAGATATGAGAGTATAAAAATTACATATTTGTGAATAACTTTTTTGTTCTGTAAGTTGACCACTATGCTTTTCACCAGATGGTGTTCTTCCAAGACATTTTGCTTCATTCTTACATAGAACAAATGGGATTAATCAAGTCTGAAGCATACAAATGTGTTCTGGTCTGAGTCCAATAGGAAAAAGAATATATCCTAGCCGTTAGCAGACAGAGCTAAGAGTTTTTGTCTGCCAAGGAATGTACCAGTGTGTGTTTGCACTGTCATAGCTTTATAACAAAATAGAAAAATAGTAATAAGCACTTGAGGTTTTATGGTACTTTGAACCTAAGGATCTGAAAACTGTAACTTGCCTACAAAGAAAGTGGAATGTTTCACGCATAGTCGTCTTCTTCATGTGATATTGACCTGTATTTTATAGTTGGTTTGGGTTTGGTTTCTTTTTTGTCCTAGTACTATCTTTCTTTTTACTGACTTCATCTCTCAGAATTTTTTTTTTTTTTTGAGACCTCTGGCCTTATTCTAAGTATTACTGCACATTCTTAAATATGGTTTTATTTTCCTAAGTTTTGAGTCATTATGTAATGACTCAAAGTTAATTAATTAATTAATTAATTTTGAGCCATTAATTATTCTCAAACTTAATTTTAAAGACAACAAAAAGCCCTAATACTTCTAAAAAAAATTATTTAAGTTTCATTAAAATTCTTCTCCTGTAGCAATCTGATATGATGGCTTTCTGTGTACTATGTATAAGTATACAGAGAGATGTTTTTTAACATTTTCTGATGAACTGTCTATATATGTTTACAAGTTATATAGTGAATTTTTCTCAAATATATCTCACATCATGGAGAATCAAACTATGAAAACTCTACAAGTTAGTTTGAAAAATATCTAATCTCCAGTCTACGAGAACTTTTTAATATAAATGTTAGTTAAAATATGAGGATAAATACTGGAGCTTTTAGAACTTTAAGAAATAAAAGACAAAAATAAATTTATTTATACATTGGATAGAAAATACTGTCATTTTCAGAGACACAAGGGCAGGAAAGAGCCTGGACACTCAGTTGTATTCTTGCAGAAACAACTGGTCTCCTGAGGTTGGGTTTAAGGCCTACTGGCAAGGCTGTACATGTATCATTAACAATGTTTTTACTACTTTTTTACATCTGCCATTCTAAGTATTCCCTGAGCACACTAATGCAAGCATTTTAAGAAATATCGTTTTAAGGCATTATCATTATAACAGCTATACATTACAGAAGACTGAAAGTCCAAATGCCTCCAACATTACTAGACTAGACTTGCAGCAGAATGTGAGGCCACTCTAAAGGAATGCAGAGATAAATATATGGCTACATAAAATAGTCCAAAAATAACTATTTACCTGTAACTCTCAACCAATATGGCTGAAGAGTTTAAAAATAAATTAACTGTAAGTGAACCTGAGGGATGACTTTCATGTTCACACTTAGCATCTTGGTTATTGAGGACCTGATCGTTTTCATGTCCACATAGAATGACGCAATATCAGAACCTGACCCAGAACTGATTGAAAAGACTGTAAAGAAAAGTGTAGGTTTCCAGCTACTTTCAGAATGAGGAAACCATATAATGTGTAATCGAATCAAATAAAAAAAGTCTTATCTCAAAACATACTACCTTCTCATCGCAGGCAGATGTCCATTTAGAACTCATTATCTGAGCAGGATAGGAATCAATTACATTTACTTATTGATTAACCAAAGACAATAGTTCATCATTGTGGCAGATTCCCTGTGCCAACCCTCTGTCCCAAATAATTATATTTTCAATGAACAGTATTTGATATGCTCACCTGTTAAATTTACAAAACAGCTCGGTTAGAATAAAGCATGAAAAACAATACACTGGCTTTACTATAAGAGATAAAACCACTCATAAGTTACCTACGGACAAACAGTAGTCATCTGCTGATGAAGGTACGGCACATGGTAAACTGGTGTTGAGTGTGTTAGCTATCCAAAATGAATATATTATTTATGAATTCAGCTTTTACTTGTTTGCAAACAATATGAATTATTAAACCACTTGAGAAACAATAAAACATATATATTTTAAAATACATCAGCGTAGGGATTTTTACTTTGTTCACACTTACTAAGGATTTTCTCCAGAAAACTACCATTTCACTAAAGCTACTTGCAGGCACAAAAATGGAGCTATTTGTCATTTCTGGAACTAAGGTCTCAGTTCACTTAATCACATTTTTTTTTTTTTTAAACAAAAGAAATAATCACCATGATTTATTAAAAATGCTAAATAAAGCCCAGATATTTAAAATGTATGATATAAGAACAATCAAGGATAATCACAAAAAGTTTTGTGTTTAATCTGATATCAGATCTAGAAGCATAATTAATGAAATTTCATTTTATTTGAATGTAAGATTTCTCTCCCAGGATGGAATATTAAAAAAAAAAAAAAAAAAAAGTGTTTATTGGTGTTTAAGGACACAGTGCAATTAATAATGCTTGAACAAAAATTTTCTCAATATCTGCAGTTCCAGTTCAGATATCTTTTTTGTAAAAGTTAGTATTTTCAAATCTTCCAGGAGAAAAATATTATCTCCTAATATTTTTAACGAATTATTCTCCAAAAATAATTTTCTGAGAATTTACTCAAAGATTCAAGGACCTGTAACTGAATTTATACTCTGATTTTGTAGGGCTGTTCAACAGAACATTGGTTTGTAAAAGCCATCAGCACCTTGAGAAGGCTATAAATTTAAATCTCTGCATTTGTGGGTACAGAATTAACACAATACAGCTGATCTTGAAAATTAAACCTTCCTGTTCTGGTACCTATTTGAATGATATACTGTAAATCATATTGTAATAATCCAATAGCTGATTACTTAATTAACTATACTGACCTGTTTTTCTGGAAAGAAGTGTTAGTTTGTGAACTGAAGAGCTGAAATCTTTTGCCTCTTTCAGACTAAAAGAGCTAGATGGGCTCTTTCTTTCTTCCAAGTTTACAGAATGGGACTGCTCCAAGACTGTAGAACCAGCAGAGGCAGCATTAAGATGGAAAAGAGCATCTTGTGCTTTCTTTTTCTCTTTTTTTAGCATATTTACCAGAATATCTGTAAGATACATTAAGGAAATCTTTAAGGACTTTTTTTTTTTTTTATTTAAATAAAGCAACAATCTTCTTTATTTATCGCTAAGTTCTGTTTGTTTTTTTTTTTTTCCAAGTGGAACAATTCACATTATGTGAATGTGATGTGGAGTTGGGCATATTCTTTGTAATTATATTCATCCACCTTAGTTTTTCCAAACAGCAGATTCATTTTTACTAAACAGTAACAAATTCACACATTGACCACAGTTGTTGATCCCATTCAATCAACACTTCACAAAAGCATTTACAGGCAACGAGGAATGAAAACTCTAGTATCTTATTGCCATTGTGTTACACTCCCTTTTTAATTTTTTAAAATCTGTAATAAACAAAATTTACAAACAAAAGAAAAAACCCCCTTAACTTACAGGTAGCCTGGCAAGTGCATCATATCTGTAAGCTTTTCACAAAAAGAAGGTTACTAAAATGAAGAACAGGTTTTTAGGAAATTTATTCCAAAACCACTATGTATTTACTGAAAGTATACTTGGTATAAATACATTTTGCCTAATAGTGTATAGAGGGCTTACAAAGAAAATCCTATGTGCATTCAGTCAAAACCACAGGAATCCCTGTGATATGTTTTTGATATGCTATACATTTTAATCCTAATTAATCTTCTAAATGAACAGCAGAAAATCTAAGTAGTCTTTTGGGAATATTATTAACTGGATTAGGTAGTAATAATACAACATTTTACAATTCAGTTGTTATGATATGTCCTAGTTACCATAATCAAGAAGGACCTCATAGTTTACTGACTAAACAGCTTCCATACTTCCCACCACTTCATCACATTAGACATGTTATTAATTTTCTAATGATGACGCACAGTCACTTAGCGGCTGCAGGTTGTAAATCAATGTCTTGTTCAAAGTCCTAATTCTTATATTCTTCCTACATAACTCTAACATGGATTAGAAACAAGTTTCCTTCTTGTACTTCTGCAAACAAAGCTGTATATATCTATTAAACACGAGTGCATTTGATAGAGAGGGTGGGTTTTTGTTTTTCCTTATCAATCTCAAACTAATGAAATAATTTATTTCAGGAAGAAATGTCTCGGGAATCCAGATCTTAAAACTAAAGTATTTTTTAAAAGGAATAGTAAGTCAGTTTTACAGCTAAATTTATTTGAAAGTGCACCTTGGAAAATGAACATCTTGTCTTCTGTGCACTGTTTTTCCAACCTGCTAAAAAGACTTCCACTCATTGTGCAACAGTGCAGGTACTCATGTGCTTCCTGTGAGGCAGTGAAATGGACAAAGCATGTCTGAGCAGTTTAGTATTTTTATATGCAAAAAGCTTTAGTTTTAATTTAAATTTTAAAGTTTCATGTAAAAAGTACAAGTTTTATATTTATTCTAAAGGCAAATAGCCAAATAGTCCCCAAAGTATCACTTCATTTGGCTAAAAATAACAGTTACAGGAAATTCTATTCTGTGTAAGTAGTAAATTGGTCTTTATATAGCATCAGTTTCTCATTCTGAAAAATGGTTTCATTTGCTTGGGGACGGTATTTTAGGTGTGGCCTGATCCACAGTATTTGGATCTTGGTTTGACCATTCCAAAGCTAAGTGATGCTTGGATCCAGGATTTTGGTTTGGGTCACAACTGAAATAGAAGCAGGTGCAAAGCATGAATCCTGCCACATAAACGTTGGGAAGTGAGTAATTGCTTTACCACAATGGGGTCAGTAGAGAGAATTTCCTTCCATACGGCTAATGCCTATCTCACACACACAAAACCCACTGTAGCCAGATCAGCTCAAACCCAAATACTATTTTTTTCCTCATAAAGGATACTGATTTCATTGTCTCTTTGCTGCAGAAGTTCTTTCAGTTTCTTCAATTCTTCTTCTCCTGCTTCTTTGTTAGAGTCTTTTTTGTTAGAGGTGTTTTGTGAGAGCAGTTTTTTATCAGAAATCTTCGAATGATTCATTAGTTGCTATTAGGAGAAACAAAAAAAGCAGTTTGAACTTTACCTCCAGCTATGCCTTTATTCTACTCTGAGACAGTCCAGCTATGGTAGAAATGGCCTTTCTAGACTTGACAGAACAAAATCATGCCACCCATTGACTGTCAAGTAATAGGTGTTAAGTATGGGACAAGCTGTATTTGTGGATCTTCACTACCAAGAGTACAATTTGTTCTTTCTACACATAAATTCCAGTGTTCTCTAGTATCACAGAGCTTTCTGTATTAATAATATTTTTTAGACAGTAAATTAAGATCAGGAATGTATATATTACTATATTGAAAAACTATATCCCAAAATCCAGAAAAGTATGTATTACCTTCTATTGCTCTCCCTATTAATTTTACTTGCTCTTCCTAGTTTAAGTGCATCTTGTTTGCTCAGTGATTAAGGGCTTAAAACATCACCACAAGAGTTGGTGTAACAGATTCAGGGACATGGTGGTTTTACTCTTTTATTTCTTTCAACATATTTTGTCCAAAATAAAGCCTCCATAGTGCTGGGAATACAGATGGATACATCTATCCATATAGAAATAACTTGCCTGTGTTGATTCAAGTAATTTCCAGTGTTCTCTCACAATTCACTGCATGCTGAGATCCTTGCTGGGGTTTCCACAAAATGCTGCTGAATTTTTCCAACTAAATTAAAATTGCTATCAGTCTTCCATGCACTTCACAACTCAATTGTTTTACCCTTTTCCAATGCCTCTCAATTGTATTGCATTTCTTTTGACACTTTTCAACTGTGAATGTCTTTGTTATTTTCAGTGCCAGTTACGTTTAAAAGAAATACCTTCAAATGAATGAAGCAATACTTGATCTTGCGCATATCAGCACCAACATCCAGAATGCTATCAGGTTCATTATCTTCAAGAAATGCTTCAATTAACTCATCCAACCTGAAAATACAGAGCATTTTTAAGAAAAAAAAACAAGTTGACAAACTTGTAATGTGTCAAATACAATATAAAATTTACCAAGCTGACTCATAGTAGCAGGCTATTTTACTTCAAGGTCCATGAAATTGCAATGTACTTTTGTTCCTGACACTAAAACCTGTATATGCTCCTGGAGATTCTACTCCATATCAGAACATACTCGCACATGCTAAGGAATAGTTCTAAAAGTATCTAGAACTAAAAGATCTAAAGCCTGCCTTCTCAAAAGACCAGAATTTTAGAGACTTTGGGCATATGATTTTTTAATATATATGATTATTTGTGCAAAAGAAAAATCTACTTCATTTTCTATTACAAGAGTCAGCAGGTAGCATGGCTTTCATACATAAGATTACATGCTCCAATCACTAAGCAAAGTAACCCATTTTTTGATGCAGATATTTACAGATTGCTCAAAGACCTACTGCTCTTCTTATGATTAATGAAATGTAATTAGTATTTTACGTTCTTGCAGTTTGTCCTAATTTGATAAACATCTGACAATATCTCCCTTAGGGAGGAGCAACTCTTTCTTCTGTAATTGTCTTCATAAGAAAATCTAGAACACAGAGACATCCTCTTGCTTTTTCAAAACCATATTTTAAATGTTAATATTCAGACTGGAAACCTACACAGGCATAATATACCAAGCCTCTGGGCTGGATGTCACAGTTATATTGAAAGAGTCAGATTTCCTCTTGCATGCTCCCACCAGCTCTCCAGGTTTTTGCCTTCCAGGATGCATGGTAAATCATCCTCAAGAAAAAGGACAGAGGATTTCTAAACCAAAACTAGCCCTTGGCACACTTGCTAAGGTATGTTTCTGGAAAATATCAAGTGCAAGTTTGAACTCTATCAACTGGTTTTGGATTAAAGGCTTCCCGGTTCCTGACAAATGCTATTAACATTAATTTAGCAGGCACATGGTGGGCAATGATGACAGCCATATGCCCTGTAAAGCATAATTCCATGATTTTAAATGTTTATTTAGGTTATTAGCCTCAGAAGATGAACTTAGGTTCTGAACTTGAGTGAGCCAAGTTATATAAGGTACCTGCATCAAATGCCCAACCATCGGAGAAGGGCAGGAGTTCATAACCATCTCTGTGCCTAGGGTTTCTTTTGAACTAGTTCTGTTCAGCTCCTCACTTAATACGGAAACCTTCTGGATGTCACTTTATAGTCATTTATCCTCTTCAGTTAGAGGATTGGGAATCTTGTAGCCATTTGATTATCTGAATTACTTTGCTGCAACCACATACCAAAATGTTAGGCATTATAATATCACAGTATTTAAAGTTGACTCTAAAGTAGGTGGTTGGGATATTGCCCTGCTTTTGAACACTTCTCTTACTGAGATTCCTCACATTATGATACTGTTCAGTAACAGTTCCCTGCTGGAGGGTGAAACAAGGAGATCCACACCAAACAGAAAAAAAAAAATTACCTATTTTCAGGAGAAAGATATCTGAAAATCAGAAGCTGTAAGACTGGAATGAAAATTGGAAAACATTACAGGTATGTTTGGTTATTTATCTCCTCCAGAGTTCACCATGACAAAGCGTCAATTCTCAGAACAGGAGAAAAAAGAAAGAAGAGAGCAACCCTCAGTCAGTTTCAAATAAACTGTGTTTTCCCATTTTCATTATTTCAGTTAAAGAAGGGACAAATATGTTGTGTATACCACACATCATATGTGCAAAATTCACAGGTTCTGAATTTATAGAACATGCTCTGAAGTCAATTTGAGCTGTACATTTGGAGGGCTTAAAGGAGAGGATATTTGAAGAGAAATATTGGTTACAGAAGCATTACTGGCATTGACTTGCTTCTCAGGTTAAGAGACTACAAGAATTACTTGGTAAAAGAGAATAAAATTTTTCTAATTGCTATGTGATTTTTTCTGCATGAATAGTCCAACAGAACAGAGGCCAGTAGTACAAGAGGTTATTCATACTCTCTGCAGACACACTAAGCACAGTGAGAAGGAGAATTAATCCTTCATACATGGAGGCAGGCATCTGTGTAAGCACTGGGAAAAAGGAGGCATTTATATTATTAATGAGAATATGATAATGATTACACAGACACAGAGAAAGTCAGTATTTGTCACTATCTTAAGTACCTTAATGATTTCAAGTGAGTAAGAGGAAACAAGTAAAATATATTTTTTATCACTAGACTGTCTAGATTGAATATATGAAATAATCTATAAAAATGAGCCTTTAATCTTGAACTAGAAATTGGAAAGGAGACATTTTTAACTTTACTAAGATTACCTGTTTGCTAGGGATTTACCCATACTTAGATTACCACAGACTATGGGAATCAATTAAAAAAATCACACTAATTTGCACCATTACCATTACCAGAATAACACTGTGGAAAGTTAAAATATTTCAAGAGAAAGAAAAAGAATATGTAATTTTTCTAAAATGACGCTCTGTTTTTAAAAATCATTATTATTTGCTAGTCAAGATTCAAGGTTAATTTGTCAAGAGTAACAAATTAAATAAACTCTAGTTATAGATATGATCTCTATTTCCTCTCGCTTACATTACCTGTAATGTGTTTGGCATTCTTGAAAAAAATAAAACAGCTCTTATTCATTGTGTCCCAAGGACTACATAGAAGCCAAAACAGATTTTAGCACCAGAAGACTGAGTCAAGTCTGAAGTAGCAGAATGTAAATCAGAAGTTATAAACTAATTCAGCCTGCCAATTCTAGGAAACAGCATAATATTCAGTGTATTTTTAGATATATTTATAAAATTTCATCTTTACAAATTAGAACAAGAACGGACCAACCTAGTCTATGGACAAACACTATGGACAAAATCAAAAGAAAATAAACAAAAGCAACAATGAAAATCCCCATGAATACCAGCAAAAGAAATCACTGCATCCCTCACATTTTTTCAGGTTTCCATGTAAAAATTACCAGAACTCTTTCTAAAATAAATACACAGTTTGACAACGCTGTAGATATTCTGGGAGTTCTTCCAGTATACCGAAGTATTAAGCAAAGGTAAAAAAATAAACTGACAATGTGTTACAGATGCAACTTGAAGTCTTGAAGTTTCTCTTCTTAATGAACAGATCTGAATTAACAGAACCTTATTTTTTTTTCCCCTAGTGTTTTATCTGCTCAAAGATTGTGAAAAAAATGGAAACATCCTCCTATGAATTTATACAATGTCAAGGTTTGCAGGTTTACAAATAAAAAAAAAAAAAAAAGCTACTTCCAATTCATTTCCAGAGATGTTCATAGAATAAATCAAGGAGACAATAAGGAGAAGGGGGAAAAAAAAAAAAGAAGATAATAAGAGGAAAAAAAAGGAATACTGACTGTATACTTTCTTTTTCCTAACATGTATTAGACAAGGTAGATCTGCTTACTAGGTGACTCAGAAACAAAGAACAATATAATTCTACAAGATAAATACTCTTTTCCTTCTCATATTCCTGACTCAAACAGTATTATATTTATCTCTATAAATAACCATAAAAATACAATTAAATGTATGGAATATATGAGAGCTAGAGCACAGAATTATATAAAATAGGACTGTAAAAGATTTAAGAAATTTATAAAGCGCATCTACAGTTACAACTCTGACACATTCTAGTCAAAACATCATGCACAACTTGCAGTCATCCTCCTATTAGAAGAGGCAGAGTGAGAAAACCCTTTTTGTAAGTAAAGGAGAGCCAAAATGGCTTTTGGTTTTCATTCAGTTACCTTCAAGAGATGGATAATAACCTTCTCCTTAGCAATAATAATATCTTCTGAGACAGTCACCTAATCTCTGATCCTTAGCTCTCTATAAGAGGAATGCATATTAAACAGTTTTCCTCAAACCAAAATCTGTATGTCAGCAAGAATGTATATCAGCAAGAATCAAACCAGAAAAACACAGCCCAGCACTGAACAAATCTAAATGTTAAAGAACAAGAAACTAAAGGGAACAAGAAATCTAGAGAACTCCGTAGCAAATCTTGTTTTAGTTGCCTACTCAGAGGCATGCATATGTGGCAGAGCAAAGGTAATATGAAATCATGAAGTAAAATAACAATGTCCTTTTTCTTAAGGACTTTTTTACCTCAGTCATGGCAGAATAACTAAAAAAAGCATAGGAAATGAACTATTTTTTGTCCATTGTTGAGGCTTAGCCCTGAGACAATATACCTAGACCTCCTTTACATAACCAGTATGTTCTATTTCCTGGAAAAGCTGCTAACTATAGTTTCTTTTTGAAAAGACCTGAGTCCTTACATCTACCGATGACCAGCTTCTGATATTATGTAAATATTATGTAAAGGATAATGGTTAATATTTGCATACCCTCTCAAAACAGAAATTAGGAAATAAAGCTCTCCAAAGAAGGGAGTTTGGAAAATGAACTTACAAAAGAAGTGCTTGGCACAGAATACATAATATATTTGAAAAATTTCTAAATTTGTGACTGAGCTTTTCTTCTCCCAAAATATCCCAGGCTTAACATTGATTTCCCCACTACATCTATTGGCAAAAGTCAATGGGAAAATAATTTAGAAAAATCAGATGTTCATGTACGTAGGTTCTATGATATGGCTGAGAGTGCCAAGGTAACTCATAAACTGGTGGGGAGGAAAAAAGCTCAACACACTTTTGTTAAGGCTCATGATGAAAACCAGATAGGATCAAGAAGAAAAAATAAATCAGTCAAGAACAATACACCCCCCCCTTCCACAGTATTTATGAACACTTCTGTTTGCAGTATGAGATTATTTTTTCTTTCTTGATGTTATTTATAAAGACTAGCACTACAGCAGTACTGGACTTTATTCATATATGAGAGATGGACTGCTGAAGAAACAAGTTCCTGTTTTGGTATTCTATTTCTTTATTATTAACTTAAAAATAAGCTTATTACAAGCCCTTTGTAAGGCATCCATCAGTAGAAAAACAATAACCCACC